GGCTGTTGGCTCTTTAGAAACAGTGAATACAATCCTTGGTGGACAGCAACGAGATGTGATTGTGCCTTTAGCACCTGGGTCTAATCCTTCTTATAGAATAGAAAACTTGGGAGCCGGGCACGGTGGCTCACACCTGTAATCCCAGCACTTCGGGAGGCCAAGGTGGGTGGATCACCTGAGGTCAGGAGTTTGAGACCAGCCTGGACAAGATGGTGAAACCCCATTTCAAAAGTGAAATAAAATAAAATAGAATAGAATAGGAAACTTGGAAAATATTTAGGAGAATTTCTCTGAAGACTGTGCTATCAGATGCCCTCAGCCAGCACAGAACCTGGAAACACATCAAGCTCCTTACCCACCCCATGTTCCCATGTGCAGGGGAAACCTGTTTTCCTAACTTTCTTCCTTTAATACAAAGCTGTCTCTGACACTGCCCTCAGTTAGTCAACTACCCTACATCAGTCCTTCAGTACTCCACAGAGAAGAAATGATTCCCATCAAATTATCTCAACTCCTTTGAAGGTGATTTGTCAGCCTTTTGTCTGTCAAGGTGAGCCTCCTCCCCAGCACCCACCACGCATTCTGTCAAGCAAGTCCATGAGAAAAAGGACAAGGGATGAAGCCCAGGCAAGGCTCTCTCACCTTCCCACTCATGCTCCTGTCCCTGTGTGAGGTACCTGCTCCTGAATTTATAGTTGAACCAGGGGTTTGATTATGTGGTTGGGAGTTACCTCCTCCTGTGTTCCACTCAGGAGCCCAGACTGCCAGCCCTGAGCCAATTATGGGGCATGTGTGCTCTAGGGATAAAGTGGTTGTCTCCCATCTGTGGCTCCACAAATCCAACTCCACTCTGTGAAGTATATGGTGGATGCTTTCCAAGCTGTTGGATAAGTGAATTATTCAGTAATCTCAACAAAGAAGTATTAAAAGATATACTTATCCAAACAGGACATAATGGAATGTTGAAGGTTTTCTGGAACGGGTTCAGCGGAAGTGGAGTGGGGGATTCTATCTGATTAGAAAAAGGAATTTCCAATACCATTTTAACTTTTTCAATGTTTATTGAGGTACAATTTTTATATTATACAATGCAGAAATTTTAAGTGTACAGCTCAAATACTTTTTACATATTTATATATTCACATAACTATCAGCTAGATCAAGACCTAAAACATTTCCATCATTGCCCAAAGTTAGCTCCTGACCTTCTCCAGTCAATGGCACCCCACTTTCCTCGCCCAGGGTAACATTTGTTCTTACTTCTATCTCTGAAATTAGTTTTGCCTATTCTTGAAATTCAAATATACTTTAAAAGTGGTACTCTACAGTGGTTGATTTATTTCAGTCAATGTAATTTTTAAAAATACTACCCATGTTGTTATAGGCCAATGAGTTCATTGCTTTTTATTGCTGTATGGTATTCCACACATGGTAGGTAGTTCCATTGTATATACTTCGACTTGCTTATCCAGTCTCCTATTGATAAACATTTGTGCTATTTCTATATCTTTACTATTATCAATATAGTTTTCATGAGCATTGTTATTCAAGTCTTTTGTGGGCATATGTATTCATGTATCATGATTATAAATCTGATAGCAGAATTGTCAGGTCAAGGAGTTGATGGTGTTTATTTAACTTACTTAATTAGAAATCACCAGACCTGTTTCCAAAGTAATTACAACATTCTCATTCCCACTAGCAATGTATGTCATTTCCACTTACTTCACATCTTTGACAATATTTGATATTGTCTTTTTTCCGTGACCATTCTGATGTGTGTGTTGTGATAACTCATTGTGGTTTTAATGTGCATTACAATGATGACTAATAATATTGGGCATTTTTTTCATACTTTTATTGGCTATTTGTATACTATTTTTTGTGAAGTGCTTATTTGGGCATTTTGCCCATATTTAAGTTGGGTTGCTTATCTTTTTATTATTAATTTAAAAAACATATTCCTGATATTTGTCATGGAGAACTTAAACTACTGAATTTCAGATATCATATCTGGAATAATATGATAGATTTCAGATAGAAGTATGATTGATGGAATAGATACGCCTTTGTTAGATATTTTGTTGCAAATGTGTTCTTAGTCTATGGCCTATCTTTTCACTTAGTGTCTTTTGATAAGAAGAGATTGTGAATTTGTTTTAAGTATTATTTATCAATTTTTCTTTTGTAATTAATATTTTAGCGTCTAAGAACTCTTTTCCTGTTTCAAGTTAGTGAAGATATTTTCATGTTTTCTTTGAGAAGTTTTATTGTGTTAGCTTTCATGTTTATGTCTATCTCAAATTAATTTTTGATGTGATGTGAATTAAGAGGTCAAAGTTCATTGTTTTCCATTTGAATATCCAGCTGTTCCCACAATCATTTATTTAGGTCGGTGCAAAAGTAATTGCAATTTTTGCCACTACTTTGAATTTCAAAAACCACAATTACTTTTGCACCAACCTAATATAAAGGCTTTCCTTTCCTTATTGATTTTTATTAGTGACTTTGTTGAAAATCAATATCTGTATACAGTCATGCATCACGTGACAGGGATACGTCCTGAGAAATGTATTGTTAGGTGATTTCATCCTTGTGCCAACATCATAGAATGTACTTACAAACCTAGCCTACTACACACCTAGGCTATATGGAACAGCCTATTGCTCCTAGGCCTCAAACCTGTATAGCATGACACTCTACTGAATACTATAGACAATTGTAACACAATGGTAAATATTTGTATATCTCATCATAGAAAATGCTACTCAGGAGGCTGAGGCAGGGGAATTGTTTGAACCCAGCAGGTGGAGGTTGGAGTGAGCCAAGATCATGCCACTGCACTCCAGCCTGGAGACAGAGTGAGACTCTATCTCAAAAAAAAAAAAATATATATATATATATATATATATATATACACACACACACACACACAGTATAAAAATAAAAAATGGCACACTTGTACAAGGCACTTACAGGAATAGAGCTTACAGAATTGGATGTTGCTCTGGGTGAGTCAGTAAGTGACTGGTGAGTGAATATGAAGGTCCAGCACACTACTGTACATTATTGTAGACATTATAGCACTACACTTAGGCTATACTCAATTTCTTTAAAAAGTTTCCATCAGTACTATGTTAACTTTAGCTTACTGTAAACTTTTACTTTATAAACTTTTGAATTTTTAGAAACCTTTTGACTCTTGTGAAAAAAAATTAGCTTAAAACACATCATACAGCTGTAGAAAAATGTTTTCCTTATATTCTTTTTCTATAAGCTTTTTTTTTCTATTAAAAAGGGGTTGGGTTTTTTTTTTTTGCTTTAAAAATTTTTTTTGTTACAAACTAAGGTCCAAACACACATGTTAGCTTAGGGCTACACAAGGTCAGGATAATCAATATCACTGCCTTCCACCTCCATATCTTGTCCCACTGGAAAGCCTTCAGGAGCAATGACATGTCACCTCCTGTGATAATAATGTCTTTCGGAATACCTCCTGAAGGTCCTGCCTGAGACTATTTTACAGTTAACTTTTTAATTAAGTAAGAGTACACTCTAAATTAAAGATTAAAAAGTTTAGTAAATGCATATACCTGTAACACAGTCATTTATTATCATTATCAAATATTACATGGTGTCATAATTGCATGTACTATACTTTCGCTGCAGCCTCTACCTCCTGAGCTCAAGTGATCCTCCCACTTCAGCCTCCCCAATAGCTGGGACCACAGGTGTGTGTCACCACAACTGGCTAATTTTAAACATTTTTTTGTAGAGACAGGTCTCACTATGTTTCCCAAGTTAGATTTGAATTCCTGGGCTCAAGCAATCCTCCTGCCTCAGCCTTCCCAAAGTGCTGGTTTCGTAGCCCAGACCCAGGACCCCACTGCCCTGTGCAGCCTCAAGATGTTGCTCCCTGCATTCTAGTCACTCCAGCTTGAGCCATGGCTCAAAGGGTCCCAGATACATGCAGCTCAGACTGCTGCTTCAGAGGATGTGACCATAGTTTTGGTGGCTTCCATGTGGTGTTAAGCCTGCAGGTGCACAGAATGCAAAAGTGAAGGAGGCTTGGGAGCTTCCACCTAGATGTCAGAGGATGTATGGAAAAGCCTGGATGTTCAGACCAGAAGCCTGTTGCAAGGGAAGAGTCCTCACAGAAAATCCCTAGTAGGGCAATGCCAAGGGGAAATATGGGATTGGAACCCCCACACAGAGGCCTGTCTGGGTTACTGCCTAGTGGAGCTGTGGGAAAGGGGCCACTGTCCTCTAGACCTGAGAATGACAGATCCGCCAGCAGCTTGCACACTGTACCTGGAAAAGCTGCAAACACTCAACAATTGTGAGAGCAGCTACCAGAGCTGAACCCTGCAAAACCACAGGGATGGAGCTTCCCAAGGACTTGGGAGTTGATTCCTTGCACCAGTGTGCCCTGGATGTGAGACATGGAGTCAAAGAAGATTATTTTGGAGCTTTAAAATTTAATAACTGCCCTGCTGTGTTTTGAACTTGCATGGGGCCTTTAGACCCTTTCTTTTGGCCAATTTCTCCCTTTTGGAATGAGAATGTTCACCTAATGCCTATATCTCGATTGTATCTTGGTAGTAACTCACTTGCTTCAGATATTAAAGGCTTATAGGTAGAAGGAATTTGCCTTGTCTCAGATGAGACTTTGGACTTTTGAGTTAATGCTGGAATGTGTTAGATGTGGGGAAAGTGTTGAAAAAGTATGATTGTATTTTGCAATGTAAGAATGGCATGAGAGTTGGGAGAGGCCAGGAATGGAGTAATATAGTTGAGATATTTGTCCCTGCCCAAATCTCACATTGAAATATAATTTTCGGTGCTGGAGTTGGGGCCTGGTGGGAGGTGTTTGGAACATGAGTGTAAATTCCTCATGACTCAGGTGTTGTCTTTATGACAGTGAATTCTAGTGAGATATGGACATTTAAAAGTCTGCGGCACCCCCTGACACACACCTTTCTTTCTTTCTCCTGCTTTAGCTATGTGATGTGCCTACTCCCCCTTTTCCTTCTGCCATGAAGCTTCCTGAGGCCTTCCAAGTAGCAGATGCCACTATGCTGCAGAACTGTAAGCCAATTGTATTTTTTAAAATAAACTACCCAGACTCAGGTATTTCTTTATAGCAATGCAAGAATGGCCTAATATACTATCTTATCAACTTATATTTTTTAAAAAATCTTCCTGGAATTTTGATTTGCACTGCATTGAATCTAATAAATCAATTCAGAGAAAAATTAACTTTTTCCACTCCATGAACACTTTTAATTTAGGTCATTGTAAAGGAAAAGGGAAAGAATTGCCTCTATGATCTGGAAAGAGAATTGAGAAACTCAGGAAGAATCAAATTGCTTTCTGAAATCAAGTAACAGAAAGTCTCTCTGGTACTTTAATGAGCAAAGAAAATAGGGGTACTAAAAACCTGGAGTGAATTGTGAAGCTAGAACAACAGCCCTGAGACCCTTAGGAGCCAGAAGACAGTAAGAAACTAACTATGCCTTGAATGAACCATACATACAGGGTTACATTCTTTTGTGCTAAGAGGAAGGTGACTCTGAGAGCTTGATGGCATCTAATTCTTTCAAGAGTGGCTGAGACATGTATTCAAGGGTAGGCAGTTGGGTTATATTTGGAAAAAAAATGAAAAACCCTTTTGTTTTTGTAATGTAAGTACTAGAGAAGATTTCTGTAGCAGCAATCCCCAACCTTTTTGGCACCAGGGACTGGTTTCGTGGAAGACAGTTTTTCCACAGACTAGGCTGGGGGATGGTTTCAGGATGACTAAAGTGTATTACACTTATTGAGCACTTTATTTATATTGTTATTACTCTGTAATATATAATGAAATAATTGCATAATTCACCATAATGTAGAATCAGTGGGAGCCCTGATCTTGTTTTCCTGCAACTAGATCATCCCATCGGAGGGCAATGGGAGACAGTGAAAGATCATCAGGCATTAGTTTCTCATAAGGAGTGTACAGCCTAGATCCCTTGCATGGACAGTTCACAATATGGTTCACACTCTTATGAGAATCTAATGCCATTGCAGATCTGATAGGAGGTGGCGGTCAGGCAGGAATGTGAACTTGTGAGTGACCAGTACCAGTCCATGGCCTGGGGGTTGGGGACCCCTATTCTACAGTACCTACTCTTTTGTTTACTGGGAGTTTCTCTGTGAACTACTCATCACCATATTAACATAGATAAGAATTCAGATAAAATAACCCATTAGCTCCAACTGTACACTTTGCAATTTGTTTGGATTTATAAGAGTCTACAAAATCATATAACGTAGTTCTCAAAAGTGAGTATTTTCCTGGAAAACTTGGATAATGACATGGTAGGGCATTTCTACAATGGTCCCAATGATTCCTACCTTCTTGGGTTCCCTCTCTTGTGTAATCCTTTCCCATTGTGTGCAGTGGAACCCAGTGACTTATTTCTAAGGAATCGGATATGGCAAGCATGATGTATAGTCACATCCAAGATTCGGTTATGAAGGCTGTGATTTCCACCTTGTTTGCACACTCTTAACTCCTGGCTCATGCTGATGAAGCAGGCTTCCAAGATGTGAGCTGCCATGTGGAGAGGCCTACAAGGCACGGAACTGAGACCCTCAGTCCAGCAGCCCAAAAGGAACTGAGTCTTGCCAATACCTCTTGACAGAGCTTGAGAGTTACCTGGGAGATGACTGTAGTCTCAGCTGATACTTTGGTTGCAGCCTTGTGAGTGACCCACAGCCAGAACACGCAGCTAAACCACCCCCAGATTCCTGAACTACAGAAACTAGAATAATTACACAACAGGGAATTAAAACAAATGATAATATTAATGACTAGCATTGTGAGGCACTGCACTAAATGCTTTACATGTGATTTCTCTTTTGATCTTCACTATAATCCTGCGAAGAACACATTATATGCTCATTTTATAGATGGGGAAATGGAGGCTTAAAGTAGTTAGCTAAAGTTAATGTTGCGAGTTAACTAGAAAGTAAAATTGGAATTTAAATCCATGCCGTCTTGCTCTAGAATTGCTCAGTTTTCTGTTATATTAAGTAATTTCTGTAGGACTGAGCAGGTTTTTCGCTGAATTGATTGATTTTTTTTAAATGGAATTACACTGATGTTTTTGAACAAGGTAACTCCAGGCTTGGACCCTTGGTTGCCTCAGAGAAAGACAGGCAAAAGCTAGAGAAGAGACCAGCAGCCTTGTGCAAAAGCATATTCTATGCAGTTGCGGTATGTGATTTAGAGCTGAGATTTGTCCTAGCGGTAGAAAAGTATTTGAAAAGGAAGCAAGAATTCCTAGGGAAGGATTGGGGGAGGATGATTCATTAAGTTTTTGTTTCAGCTTTTATGTCAGCACATCAGACTGTGAGGAAGAAAACAAATCAAGCTCTCCCCAAGAGACTACTGTGTTGGAATAGTCTAGAGTATGTCTCAATTGGAATCTACTGAGAAAAAAGGAAGTCATACTTAAAATGTTGTGTTGTAAAACAATCTATGTGAGAAGAAATACTGCTTTAAAAAAACTATTTTAGAAATACCTTTTATTTCTTTTAATGTAAAAGAAGTTATTGTTATATACTTGCTATAATCAAAGCATTAATAAACCAATTGAGAAAATTTTAGAGACTAGCACCCCAAATACCACCCACTAGGAATCACCAGATTGATATTTTTACTGTATCATAACTTTTTTTTGTTTTTTAATTAAAGATATCTCTTCATGTCAGTAACTGTGTCTACATCACTGTTTTTAATATCTCACTGTGTGTACATTCTATCACTTATGCAATTAATCTTCTGGACATTTAAGGTGTTTGCAATTTCCTGTTATAAACAACTTCATGAGAAATAACTTCATAGAGACATCTTGTTCATTTGTCTCATTTCTTTACAATAAATTTCCAAATTGGAGTGGTTGGGTCAAAGGGTTTGCATATTTTAGATTTTTAAGGGTCTGGCCAAATTGCCCTCCAGAAAGGTTGTACCAAAATTAATTCCCACCACGGTTTATGAGAGTGCCCACTTCCTACAACCTCGCCAAAAATGTATATTAGCATTCTTTTAAACCTTTGCCCATCTGATAAATGAAAAATAGCATCTTATTATTTTAGTTTGCTCTCTTTTAATCACTGGGGAGATTAGACATTCTTTCTTATTGGTCATTTGTGCTTCTTATCTCATAAATTATCATTACTTGTAACTTTTTTCCATTGGATTGTTCATAATTTTTTATTTAAAAATCTATAAATTAAGGAATTTAACACTTTATCTTTCCCATATGCTACATTTTACCCCAGTTTGTAACCTGCCTTTCAACTGTGCTTTAATTTATTTGCTGGTTCTTGCTCTGTTGACATTCAGAATTTTTATGTCATCAAATCTATCCATCTTTATATTTATAGTTTCTGATTTTGTTATGCTCAAAAAGGCCTTTTATTTTGTCTAGATGATTTTACCAAATCTAAATGGCCATTTTTTTTAACCCAACATTTTGAGGCAGCATTTGGAAAGTAAAATGTGAAAGTCAATAAATTATTTAAAAATGTGATTTACTCTTACAGGCTTCCCCCAGCACTCTGCCTTTGCCTCAGCTCCAATGCATGACATTAGGAAAACCATTTATATATGTGTTGTTTTAGTTTATATTTTATATATGTTGAGTAGAATGTACATCCCTGCATAAATTTCAGTGAGTTGAACTTAACTACATTCTTTAGCAATAACAGCACAGCAATATAAACATACTGCTGATTCCATTACAGTTCTAATAATAGAAATGTATTATTAAATTACTTCTATTCGTGTCATGCTCCATACAAAGTTATTTCACATACATCGTTTTATTTAATTCTCACAGCAACATTGCAAGTTAACTATCATTATCTTCCTTTTAGGTAGGATATTGAGGTTCAGAGTGGTGAAGTGACTTGCCAGTCACACAATCAAATGATGGCACAACCAGGGACTCAGACTTGTGTCTTTTAAACAAATACACAGTATTCCTCCCAGTTATCAAGCTAGTAATTATGATCTTTCGGCTGCTGCCTGGAGTCAGGGGGAAGTTCCAAGTTTAGTTGCCTTTTTGGAATTTCAGCAGGTTTGGGCTTACTTAGGGAGCTTCTTTGGTTTTAATTTCAATTAGGTTGTAAGAAGCAATGGATTGCCACTTGTTAGGCTATGATAGCTTTCTTCTTCTCAAGCAAAGACTGTCTGCAATGTGGGGCAGCTCCTCTATTTAACATGTCTCATTCAATGGAGCACACATCCTTTAGTGGGTGATTATCCACCTGCAGGTGGCTGTTCACCTCTGCTTTCTGTGTCTTCCTCATTGCTAGAGCACCCTTCCCTGCAATGCTCACCTCAGGAGAGCAGAAACAGTGCTCCTTTTACCAATTCACTTTAAGCAGGGACAGAACTGTCACACCAACCCCAATACATAATTGCTTCCTGCCTAATCACAGTGACCAGAGCCAATCAGCTCTATCCAGACATGCCTGACTGTCTAGCCAATGTCTCCCAGCCCTAAAACTCCTTTTCCCACTCCAGTGTGCCTCATCCTCTCCTAGAAGTTACCTACACCCCGATGAATAACACTAGGAGCTCACATTCCCTTCGGAGTGGCCTACTTCTTCTATCGGGCGTGTGGTATCTCCTTGACCTTAACAAAGAACGTTTTTAAAGGAATTGATGCATTTTCACCCCAGTCTGCATTATTTATTCTTATTCAGCATCACCTGTCTATACTCCAATGGAGTGTGACACATGTTAGCAGAAATACTGCACATTCTTCACAGAGGAGATACTATTTAAGCTGACTCTTCAAGGACAAGTGGGTGCTCCCTCAGGCATACGAGGCAGAAAATGTCACTCTAGATGGAAGAATGAACACATTCCAGGAAGGGAGAAATAACACAGTCGGGAAGACATATAATTCACTGTGATAGGAGCCTCAGGTGTACGTGGGAAGAACAGGCGAGGAAAGCAGGAGGCAGACACTAGCTGTGCACAGAAAGGAGGGGCCTGGAGCCGGTCGGGTACAGATACGATGTCTCTCTATTGTCTCTCTATAACCTAACAGTGGCAATTCGGACCTTTTTTAAAAAAGGCAGAGAATAGGATATTGGATCACAGAATGCTCCTGGTCTTGCTGTCATACTGAGCTTTTATCATTGGAATTGCTGTGGTCATTATGACTAGTCGTACTCTGCTCTGGCTATCTATTCTCCGGTTAAAACTTTGGCTCTCAGTCTTATTCTGTGGGTGGAGCCACTGACAGTCACAAAGTTTTGCAATAGAGATGATATCTTGGCCATGCTCGAATGGTTTCCCATCCTCCTAGAATAAAATGCAAAGTCCATACCAGAGTCTTACGTGATCAGGCACTTGCCTACGTCTCTGAGGTCATCTTTCATTATTTTCCCCATAGCTTCTCATGAGGACTGGTCTTGCTATTCCTCCTGAATGCCAAGCATGTTCCCACCTGTTAGCCTTTGCTTGTGCTATTTCCATTACCTGGGACATTTTTCTCCCAGGTGTCCACATGGCTTGCTCACATCATTAGGCCTGGGTTCTATGAGAGGGATTATCTCCGACCACCTTATCTAGCAATTACTCTCTGTCCTTGCAGCTTACTTTAGGCATGCTACTTATCACTGCCTAATATTAAACTATGCATTTACTTATTTGTCTTTATCCTTCTCTCTTGTTAGAATGGAAGCTTCATGAAGGGAGCAATTTTGTCTGTCTTGTGCACTGCACCTAAGTGCCTGACACATAGCAAATAATAAATATTTGCTGAGAGAATGAATGAATTAATGGTCTAGCTCCCAATCCCTTGAAGAAAAGAACAGGATGCAGGGCAGAGTGATCTTGGCAGGAGGAAGTGAGACCCAAGAGAGCACACATTTGCAGCACCATCCCTCAGCCACAGAGGCAGAAACGATCATTTTGCTGGCTCTGAGACCTTCCCAACCACTATTGCAAAGCCTCCGGGAAGCAGGTCACTGCACAGACCTTTGCTTTCTACGGTGTAGCCTTGGGTGTGCTCCACATAGTTTGAAGCCTAAGTATCAGTTTTTGCACTGTGTTTGTCAAGGAGCAAAACCTGAGTGGAAAGATTGCCAGGTCCCACTGAATTCAAGTTGAAGTCCTGGTGAGAAAAAAATAAGAGGAAAGGATTTACATGTCCAGACTTTTGCATTTGGAAGTAGGGCTTTTCTGTTGCTCAGTCTTTTCATCATAGAGTCAGAACTTCCTGAGCTATGCAGACTCCCCGCTTAGGCCTCGCTGCTCCTCGTTGGTGCTGCAAAGCTCCTAGGGGGTCTGCCTGTTGCTCTTTTATAGGAAAACACCTGGGGCCACTCTTGCAGTTCATTATACACTAGCTGTGCTCTCCAGACTTGGGTTTTCCTGCAAGCCCTTTGTACAGCTCCTCTCAGCTTTCCATGATTAGAAGTCCTATTTACTGCTTACACCCTTTCACTGTTTACAATAAATAGATCGAGGCACTTAAGGCTTCTCATGCTCCATTAGCCAGGAGGATTTGACACAAGGATGGGCGAGACTGGTTGGATAACATAGAGTTGGGTAATAGGAGAAAATGCACCCCTCTCCTCCCCTGAGAGGCAATTTCAGTTGTTCCCACAGTATGTTTTCATTGTACAGTAGACGCAAGAGCTCCAGCTAGTGTGAGAACTGAGCTCAGATAAGAGAAACACAGTGATGGCACGGTTCCTGCAGGGCTCCCATGCTATTTTCTCAGCATTAAGGAAATTCAACGATGTCTAAACAGCTGACCTTGTGGTGTGTTGGTAGGTTTGCACAAATCCCAGGGGTCATATTAGCATATACATTTCAAGGGAGAGATCAAGTCATCTTTGGAAAAAGCAAGCTGCTGATACATTTAAAACTCAACTTCCATTTCCATTCTCCCTGAACTATAAGAGAGCAGTTACTCAAGTCTCCCCAGGCATAAGGCATGACTGGGTCACATGTGATGGAAGTAGCTAAATTCACAGTAGCTCAGAGAAGCTTCTTCTTCTTCTTTTTTTTTTTTAACTGTCATTGGTCTCTTTGCTTTTGTATCTCCCAGAATTTGTTTGGAAATACCCCTGGACACTTCACTGTCTTGCATCACCCTCTTTATTACTCTGGAAAATATTAGTTAGAGTGGGTCAGTTGCTTGTCAGCAGAAAGCAATCATTCCTCATTAGCTGGGGTAGAGTTCCCTGGTGGTCTTTTGAATTTTTTTCCTATTTCATGCAATATCCCCACATCTCCCATCTCATGTTTTAATCTCTCTGGTTACATTAAGCTTGCAGACTTTTCTTAAGTTATCGCTTATAAAGACAGCATTCAGAAACTGTTTATAAAATTGATTTTAGTGGAATGTAATGCAATTAGCTCTAATTGTCACCTTTCCAAAATTCCAGGAGACTTGAAGGACATTCTGCTAAAATTCTAGAGACCAGAGCCAGGGCAACTCTTCTCTGGAGTGCCAGCACCACTGTCGGCACCATCACTATGGCTGTTGACCACCACTATTATGGCAGTCAGCCACCACCAAGATCACCGACTAATCTTCTTCTACTCTCTTAGCCACCTATTAGTTGATTAAACCAGACCAAGGATTAAAAGTTTATGGAGCAGGAACTCTGTCTGTTTTAATCAATGTTGAATACCCAGTGCTTAGCACAATGCTTATCACATAGTAGATGCTCAATAAATACGTATCAAATGAATGAGTATTTCTCTGATCTATGGAGTGTCTGTTTTTACTACTGATTTATTTACTCAGTGCTTAGCACAATGTTTGTCACATAGTAGATGCTCAATAAATATGTATCCAATTGAATGAGTAGTTCTCTGATCTATGAATTGTCTGTTTTTGCTACCTATTTATTTGAGACCACCAAATGTGTTTGTTTTCTCTTTTGGTTATAGGAACGTGATCTTCTGGCCAGGCACAGTGGTTCATGCCTATAATCCCAGCATTTTGGGGGGCCAGGGAGGGGGGATCACAAGGTCAGGAGTTCAAGATCAGCCTGGCCAACATGGTGAAACCCCATCTCTACTAAAGAAAAAAAAAATAGCTGGACATAGTGGCAGGTGCCTGTAATCCTAGCTACTCAGGAGACTGAGGCAGGAGAATCGCTTGAACCCAGGAGGCAGAGGTTGCAGTGAGCCAAGATTGCACCTTTGCATTGCACTCCAGCCTGAGCAACAGGGCAAGACTCTGTCTCAAAAAAAAAAAGAACATGATCTTCTAATACTATCTTCAGGCATCTACAACATAGCGGTTAAAGTACAAGCTCTGCTAATCTGCAGTGTTAGCATTCAGCATAGTGGTTATGGGGTGAGCAGTTAACTGAATAGGGTCCTAATGAGGGCTTCTGGGATGCTGGCAATATTCTGGAAATGGTACGGGCACATTTACCTTATAAAAAGAAATCAAGCTGCGCACTTTTGACTTAAACACCATTCTATAAGTGTGCTATTATTTATTATGATTTTTACAAGACAAGACTCTGGAGCTTATTGTCTAGGTTCATATCCTGGCTCATCCACTTTCTAGTTAGATGGCCTGAGACAAGTTATTTAATATATCCTTGCCTCACTCTCTTCATCTGTAAATCAAGAGTAATAATATTATGTTATATGGTTTTTGTGAATTAAGTTAGTTGATCTAGAGTAAGTACTCAAAAAATGTCAGCTTTTATTAGCTATTATTCTTCAGTAGTTGAGATAGTTCTAACCTGTTCACGTAAAGACTTAGAAAATATCACTGGAGGTCATTAGAGTGCTCATTTGCCTCCAGGAAGCACTCCTCATTTGTCAAATCCATGTCCTTCTTAAGGGTCTCTTTACAAGTTTGCTTTTATTTGCCTTCCAAAGTACACAGACCCTAAAGATCAGATAAGCTCTTAAGATCTATTGTAACAATACTGGTTTTCCTAGAGACATTCTGTCAAGCGCAGAATGCTAGGATCAGAAAAGATCGTAGATAATACTGTCTGTGCTGTCCCAATATAGAAGCCACTTGTTATATGTAGCTACGTATGTTTACATCTAAATTAGTTAAGAATAAAATTAAAATTAAAAACGCAGTTCCTCAGTGTTACTCATCATATTTTGAGTGCTCAATATATCCCCATGTGGCTAGTGGCTGCCATACCCAACATTGCAGAGACAGAACATTTTCATCACAGCAGAAAATCCTATTGGATGGAGCTGCTAGATCAACCTGCTCGCTATATGTATGAAAACATTCAGGTCCCAACGTCCAGAGAGGTGAAACGATTACACCAAAATTGCATAGCTAGTTAAGGAAGGAACTAGACTACAGTTTAGGCGTTTTGATTTTTACATCGAGGTATTTTCCACTTGGTCACAAAGACACCTATGGACCCACAGGCTCTCTCCTGTGGTCATTGGTTCACCACATCTACACTAGAGAAATAAATTTGATGGCTCCATATCAGCTATGCTCTAATACATTATACTAACTGGAAACCAGATTTCCATTTCCATTCTAGGGTCCTTTCTTCTCAAAATCAGTGGGCCATGGGGTCACTCACACAGATAGGGTAGCCAAGTTAGTCAAGTTGCAGTTAGTTAATGGTAATTGCCAATATTTATTAAGCATGTACTACGCACCATTCCTCACTTCTAAGTGATTTACTAGGTTTTCCACTTGGTATAGCTGTATGTAACGTAATATACCTATGTTACGTGGTTTTTGCGAATTAAGTCAGTTAATTTAGAGTAAGTACTCAAAAAGTGTCATTTTTTTATTCGCTATTATTCTTCAGAAGTTGATATAGTTCAAACCTGATTCAAGCCACTTTCAGTGGCAAAGACTGCAGTCACTTGGGCACCAACGTAATACATTCAACTGATGAATGTGAGGCACAGAAGCGTTATGGGGTGTGCTCAAGGAGGTAGGGGGCTGGGATTTGAACTCAGGCAGTCTTCTCCAGGGCCCTTGCTCTTATTCACTATGCTGTAGTCTATAGAGATTATACAAAGGTTGGTGAAAGCTAAAGCATGAGAGCAAATAATGAGAATGCAATGTCCTCACTCTCAAGAAATAAATAATCCAGTTATAGGCTAGGAAGAGAGTAGCAGATCTATGTGGACAATTTATTTATATTTTTAGTATTTATAATCATACAAATAGTTATGAATTTGGCAATCTGCATCTCTAAGCCCACTCTCTTCCTTTCTTTTTACAAAAAAATGAAACAAACAAACAAATTCCAAAAGCAAAACCCTTTAATGACAAACACCCTTCAAATAGTCGGTGATTATTCCTAAGCGGTCTACCTTTACACGTGTCTCCTATGAGGGCCTTGGATTCATCTGGGTGTGCTTCGGAGAATCCATTTGTTGACTGGCTAGGGCTGTCGATGAATGGAGGAAGGGGAGTGGAGAGATCACTTAATGCTTTGATTATAGGTCTGAGCTCTCCAGCAGAGGTTTCTCAGTAAGGCCATGGAGTTAGTGTGTTTGTGACAAGGTTTTTGCACAGATTCACTAAGTATAAATAGAGGATTTTTTTTTAAAAAATGGATAGATTTAGCAGTTGATTTCGTGCTTTGAAAGCCATCCTTTTCAGTTTTAAAAAAATATCCTTGCCCACACTTGCTGGTGAAACCACATTGGCACCCAGCTAGCAACAGTGGTGTTTAAACATGCTGTGGCTGGCACCATTCAAACAACAGCAGAAAGGGCTTTAGGCTCTCAAAGCCTCCTTACTGCGCTGTGTAGAGTCCCTTCCAAGATTTCAAATAGATGAACGAATAATGTACCAAGTTGCAATTATCACTCTGAATTGGTCTAATCATAAGATGCTATTATTGAATTATTAGTAGACTATGATTTCTATTATTCATGTTCCATCTGCTTTGGGATTTGAATTTGAATTTTTGTGCTTAACATCTTCTGCACTTGACAAAAAGCCTCAGCCAGGGGCACTGATAATTTTTATAAGGTGTTCTGGGTCATGAACGAGTGGAATACAGTTTCTGAAGAGGCCACTTCCCTGAACTTGCCATTCTAGGGAATGTCACAAGGTTAAGTTTACTGCTTAACATAAATCTTACTTTTTAAAATTTTCTGTTTTAGGCTAGAAGGTAAATTTTGCTGAGTATTATAAAGAAACTGAGGATTAGAGTAGAGGCTTTATTAAGTGACTTCCACTTTGCTAACACCAGCTTAACTGGTAATACCCCAGGCACAGGGTACTATCTCTTACCTTTTCGCTTTGTTGCAAGAAGACTGCTCTCTGGTGGGTTCAGTACTTCAACTCCCACTGAGTTTTAATTAACTGACCGATTACCTGATCCTGATCGCTAAAGAAGAGAGCCCTGGCTGTTCTTTTATAAGTTCATAATCTTTTACTCTGAGTTTCATTTACTAGGTCAGGGAGAAATCTGTTGGGTGCAGAAGACGGCACTGACCTAATAAGATCTTAAGCTATGAGGAGATGGAAGACAGGCATTACTTAAGCAGTATGGCTGTAGAAGAACCAGCCTCTGACAGGCTGAACCAATGTGGCACCCAAGAAGGTGGTGCGTGCATCAATTCTAGAGAGCAGATGAAGGATGGGAAGAGAGCATAGGCAGAAAAGATGAGAGTTGCAAGAACAAGAGAGGATGAATTACAGTATTAAAAGCTAGTCAAGGCAAGTGATTTGGAACTTGAATTTCTGAGTTGGAATGCCATTTGAAGGCAATGTTCCACATAGGAAAGACTAAAACAGAGTAAATTAGCACATTGGTCTAACAGGCCCATGTCAGGCTGCCATTCAGGGCGGGCTGGTCAAGATGCCTCCATTACATGAATAAGTAGGCCTGAATAGCAGGCTGATGGTTTGGGGTTGTGTTCACTGTTTTTGGATTTAGGCTACAGAAAGTACCATGGTGGGGGTACTGTACTATAGTCTCACAGATGTTCAGGGGAGAGAGAATCTTCAAGAACATGGAGAACAGGAGTCATTGTTTCCAGAAAGGGAAATAGAGGGCAAGGAAAATGATGCAGAGATAAAGGGAACCGAAGTTGAGTCCTTCTTCTTTGCTAAGGTTTTAGATTTCATAATAAATCAGGAAGCCCAACACATAACTGAGAAATTGCCTCAGGAAGAAAATCTGCATGAGGATCCTGAAAAAACATAGGTTGAAATTCCATAGATGAGTCCCCAGGAGATAAGAGAGCCAGAGATCCTCTGGAAAGAGCATAAAGGAGACATCAGAAGGAATCCAAACCAGGAGTATTCGTTACCTCTTTAACTTCTCCAGATGAGATAAGGAGAATTAAAAGATTGGTGCTGAATGGCGTTTACAGCGTCCTTATAATCAGTTCCTCATGGTAGAATTACTAACTGGACTTTGAGAGGATCATATAAGTTGTATAATTTTGTGATTCCTCATAGTTTTGAAAATAGAGGACTATGCCAGAAAAATCCATATTGTTTAGAACTAAATATCAAGGAAATGTACAGAAGAAAGGAGGGACACCCATATAAATCCATATTCCCTTCTGATCAAATTCTGCACTAGCCACTAGCAAACTGACAAACCAGTCTCATTTATATTTCTTTTGCTAAAGTTAGTGTCAGATAATCAAGCTTTATTACAATCACTAGTTTCTCAAGTAATTATTAGGGCGTGAATTTCTACCTTTATCTGTATTCATTTCCACTTCTAACACAATTCCCTAAATATGAGAAGAGTTGGGTGGAATTTTATTGATTATAATTTCACACTAGCGACTCAGGTTCAAACAATACTTTTTCCCTAGTGGTATGGGTAATAAAGTATAA